CATAGGTCTTAGAATACCCATACAAATATCCCGCGCCCAACTGACAATCCATATCATCGTATGATCACAAGAACGATACCTTATATTCTACCCGCGTCTAACAGTACAGAAAGGCACAGTCGCCTTCGCCTATTCTTCTTGAAAATATATTGAACCTTTCTGATATAAAAAAAATGTTTCCTTTAGAATGTCTTTATAACATCCAACTCTTCTCAATTATTTTAGCTGCAATCTTAAAATTAAATTAAAAAAACGACCCAACAACTGACAAGTAGTTCTCAGTTTTAAATATTTTCCACAATATATTTCTCAGACATATTCAGTTAAGAATCGCAATTGTACAAAAACCAACTTACTGCGGTCATATAACATCCGTTGACACATCGGGGGACTATTATCACATTGTAAGTGTGACCTCTGACCTCTTGGATTCCACGTCGAGTGATCAAACATTCAACTGGAGACAGTCCACGTAGAGATAATCTTGATCGCGATCGAGAAGTTTCTTATGGCGGGCCTTCGTATATGCGCTTCCAATCATTGTCCTGTGTACGTAGTAGATTCGTCGTCTTAGAAGCACAGATGTTTTCACAAAACTCACAAGTTCAGACGTCACTTGCTCAAGGAAAAAGGACATCACGCTAAGATGTCTTACGCGTATATAGTTACTTACTTGTCATTATATGTGCTCGTAACAGCAGGCAGATAATAGACAGATCATATACAGTAGACGGATGACAGAGAGTAGACAGATGACAGGGAGTAGACGGATGACAGGGAGTAGACGGATGGCAGGGAGTAGACGGATGTAGAAGTAGACTGATGACAGGGAGTAGACGGATGACAGAGAGTGGACGGATGGCAGGGAGTAGACGGATGACAGGGAGTAGACGGATTACAGAGAGTAGACGGATGACAGAGAGTAGACAGATGACAGGGAGTAGACGGATGTCAGAGGGTAGGCGGATGACAGAGAGTAGACGGATGACAGAGAGTAGACGGATGGCAGGGAGTAGACGGATGTAGAAGTAGACTGATGACAGGGAGTAGATGGATGACAGAGAGTGGACGGATGGCAGGGAGTAGACGGATGACAGGGAGTAGACGGATTACAGAGAGTAGACGGATGACAGAGAGTAGACAGATGACAGGGAGTAGACGGATGTCAGAGGGTAGGCGGATGACAGAGAGTAGACGGATGACAGAGAGTAGACGGATGAGAAGAAGTAGACGGATTACAGAGAGTAGACGGATTACAGGGAGTAGACGGATTACAGGGAGTAGACGGATGACAGGGAGTAGATAGATGACAGAGAGTAGATAGATGACAGGGAGTAGACGGATGACAGGGAGTAGATAGATGACAGAGAGTAGATAGATGACAGGGAGTAGATGGATGACAGGGAGTAGACGGATGACAGGGAGTAGACGGATGACAGAGAGAAGACGGATTACAGGGAGTAGACAGATGACAGGGAGTAGACGGATGACAGGGAGTAGATAGATGACAGAGAGTAGATAGATGACAGGGAGTAGACGGATGACAGGGAGTAGACGGATGGCAGGGAGTAGACAGGTGACAGGGAGTAGACGGATGACAGGGAGTAGACGGATGACAGAGAGAAGACGGATTACAGGGAGTAGACGGATGTCAGAGAGTAGACGGATGACAGGGAGTAGACGGATGACAGAGAGTGGACGGATGACAGAGAGTAGATAGATGACAGGGAGCAGACAGGTGACAGGGAGTAGACAGGTGACAGGGAATGGACGGATTACAGGGAGTGGACGGATGACAGGGAGTAGACAGATGACAGGGAGTAGACAGATGACCGGGAGTAGACGGATGACAGGGAGTAGACAGGTGACAGGGAGTAGCCGGATGAGAAGGAGTAAACGGATGACAGAGAGTAGACGGATAACAGGGAGTAGACGGATTACAGGGAGTAGATAGATGACAGAGAGTAGATAGATGACAGGGAGTAGACGGATGAGAAGGAGTAGACGGATTACAGGGAGTAGACAGATGAAAGGGAGTAGACAGATGACAGGGAGTAGACGGATGACAGGGAGTAGACAGGTGACAGGGAGTAGGCAGGTGACTGGGAGTAGACGGATGAGAAGGAGTAGACGGATGACAGAGAGTAGATAGATGACAGAGAGTAGATAGATGACAGGGAGTAGACGGATGACAGGGAGTAGACAGGTGACAGGGAGTAGGCAGCTGACAGGGAGTAGCCGGATGAGAAGGAGTAGACGGATGACAGAGAGTAGATAAATGACAGAGAGTAGATAGACGACAGGGAGTAGACGGATGACAGGGAGTAGACAGGTGACAGGGAGTAGACGGATGACGGAGAGTAGGCGGATGACAGGGAGTAGACGGATGAGAAGGAGTAGACAGATGACAGAGAGTAGATAGATGACAGAGTAGACGGGCGTCAGAGAAAAGATAGACATCAGGCTCATCCTTGCACTTTGTCAAAATTTCCGTTATTCATTTTTCTTTGTTGTTTAACGCTGCACTCAACAATTTTCCAGCTAGATGACGGCGGTCTGTAAATAATCGAGTCTGGACCATACAGTCCAGTGATTGACATCATGAGCATCGATCCACGCATTTGGATACGATGACATCTATCAACCAAGTCAGCGAGCCTGACCACCCGATCCCGTTAGTCGCCTCTTACGACAAGCATAGTCGCTTTTTACGGCAAGCATGGGTTCCTGAAAACCTATTCTATACCGGATCTTCACGGGTCGTAATTACCCCAACTCATGGAATCGGAGCAGGACGAAACGCATAGACTGTAGTTTTTATTCAGAAGTATATTGTAGTATATCTCGTTTGAACATGACCCACAACCTAGATATATTATGTAAAATGAACAGATTCTGATAACGATCTCATGATTTTAGAGAGAGGGAGAGAGAGAGAGAGAGAGAGAGAGAGAGAGAGAGGGGGGGGGGGGGGGGGGGGGGGGGGGGTGTCTATCAGTTTTGTCACTTAACCTGTTCACTCACGCCCATTTTAGTTTGTGAACTTATGTGGTGACGAATGCGTTAAGAAAGAGTTATTCACTCAGTCGCTCCATAATATTATATTTTTCAGTGGATAAGACTGAAATATTATCACTTTAGATGTTCTTTTTCTGATGGAAGATGTTAATAAGGTGGGATTATCCCCGTATGCTGAGAGCGTCTCAAAGAGAATGTCCCCATGGTTAGAATATGTCAGGTGTGGATCAAGGATTCAGAGGTGGCGCACAAGTCACGTACATCAACAGAACACCTACTTCTGGGACTGCATATCAGACACAGGCAGACAGAAAGTCTGATGAATTAGTGGGCTGGGGCAGCACCCCCACGCCCAACCCCACCCCCACACCCACCTCCCTCACCTGGGCCATCGGTGGGTCATGATTATGGCGTTTGTATTTCTCTACATGTCTACTATATATCTGCTAAATGTTTGATTGGGTCAGAGAGTAACTTATGAAATTTAGAGGAAATAACTATTATGTGATTTATTGTATAATGCACAAAAGAATAATGACTCAAGGGTCCTCGATGATGAAGTATATTAAATCTCGACTCTATTTGATTGAGTACCCTGACCCACTCGCTACGATTGGAAGATCACGACGCTAAAAAAGCCGTCCAATCAAATTACCCTCGCGAGCGAGGGAAATAATGTGCTAAGTTAGATATAAGAGTGAGGTGAGTTGGGTTTAACGCCGGTTTTAAGAGTATTCCAGTTACATCACAGCGTGTCAGTTTAATGTGGGAGGAAAGCCCGGAGTCATGCAGTCATCTCAGACATTTACCACTTTGGTCAAACCTACGAGCACGGGTATGGTGCTGACAAAACTAGACACATAATGGGGGCGAACCGAGATTCGAACCCACAATCATAGGTTTCTGGCGTGCCCGAGGGACGCAAACTCAGCGAATTTGTGACTTGAGTATACACACTGCTCTAACGCTCACACCCCCTCCCCGATCTAAAACGTTTAATTAAACAAACATTTGCTGTTTTCAATGACCAGCTGTCAGATCACTGATGATTATGATTAACTGTTTAAATTAAGTCTTCTCTTCAATCAATCTACCAACCAGAAGTCCCAGACTCACGTTTCCCCCCAGGTGATTGAGACGCTATAGGTATGTCTTATCTAACTGTGGTGTACAAAACAGGTGAGTGTTCTGCCCCGACCACTCCTCACAGCTCTATGGATGTCACAGGGCCTTTGTAGCGGGGAATGTGTGTCGGAATGATAACTGATGGCAAACTCATAAAATTATAGTGCAGGAAAATTCTCCCATAACATTAACTGATGTAAAAGGTCATTGCCTTTCGAGTAAATAGGTTTAAAGTGACGCATAATAATGTTTGTGTGATATCGTTGTCTGAAATATTGACGTACAACGCTCATAATGCACCAGATTATTGGACTGCCCGGAGAGCGGAAGGTCCGGGTTTCGATCCCTGGCCGCGTCATACCAAAATCCGTTAAAATATGGTACTTGTTGTTCCCCTGTCTGGCGCTAGGCTTTAAGGGGCTAAAACAAGAACTGGTCGGCTCGGAGTCAGTATAGTGTCTGAGTGAGGTATTCATGTTAAACAGCGACATGTGGGCTGGTAATAGCCACACACACACACACATACACACACACACACACACACACGCACGCACATCGCTATATAAGTGCAATAATCTTGGACGCGACGTTAAACCCCATTTCACCTGACCTCACCAGGTTATTGAGAAAAGAAATTAGGCTACTTTTTTATTTGGGTTTTGAACATAATTCTTTTAGATTTGGTCGACTGAAAGACCAACTGACTTATGCTTTTGTCGAAAAACGTGCTTGTGGTTTTGTTGTCATTGTACTTGATGCTGCAGTTGTCCCCCTTTGAACATTCTCAAGTGACAGTGCGTCGCATTAACATGAAACATTCATTACATACGCCGAGAGAATTATGACAACATTACAAACATCGATTTAAATTTATTTTGAAAATATGTATACAGTAAAATATAAAAATACACACAGTAAAAGTTAAAGATTTTGAACGCACCGGTTCACCCAAGATATACACAATATATAACAAATCGTGCATTTATTTATAACAGCCGCCCAAATGACATTCCCTTTACAGGATAAACATCTGTGCTGGAAATGAGTAATAGACGAACAGCTGCCAGTGTTCCGTACAATCTCTGTCATTCATATTGAACGTGTTGAGACTCATGGATTACATTAACATTACGATATCGTTGCCCGGGTGTCAATGGTCTCGCAGTTTCAATAAATCAGATTTCCACACAGATTCGATACTTTACCATCTTATTTCAAAATAATTTTCCAACTATAGCAAAGAAAAATTACAATTTGAATTTTTTGTCGTCTTCTGAATATGAATTTAGAATATATGCACAAAACACAACACTTTGCATGTTCGTAACAAGACACCGAATACATGACTTCAGGCATGCTGGTGCTACACGGGTTTGACACAACGCAGGGAAAAGGGATATATTTCAATTTACAAGTTACTACAGACACTTTATGAGGCAAACGGACATAAACCCCAAACAAAACATGTAACCACAATCCGACAGGGCAATGGCAGTCATGAGACACAATCGTCCGTGAAACATTTACATAAATAGACCACACAAAGGCAACTGCGGACATCCTCAGGTCAAGGGGAAATCACGTGGTACATCCAGCTTACTCTAGATTTAGTTAGAAAACTTTGTTTCCCATGGTTGTCTCTAAGTAATAGTGAGGGAAGTTTATGTTTAAGGGGGTCGAGCTTCTTGTAGTCATTTGTGATGAAATTAAAGCCCCCAGCCACACACACACACACACACACACACACACACACACACACACTTTAAGATGATTCATGTGTACGTTGTTTTATATTTTTCAGCTTGTTTCTCAAGATCTAAATTTTTCTCTGCAAAAGTGGAGCCAACCAATCCTTTTCATTTCTGCACATCCAGCATCTCCAGTGTAAATGTATGTATCTCCGTCAAAAAAGGACAGAAGATATTTCGGAGCATTTTCGGGAAAGATATCATTTAAAAAAATATAAATGAATGTACTTTTGATTGAACTGCTAGGGCTTACAATAAGCGACCAGATACTCTTTGAATGTACTTTTGATGGACTTTTTAGGGCTTACAATAAGCGACCAGATACTCTTTGAATGTACTTTTGATTGACCTGCTAGGGCTTACAATAAGTGACCAGATACTGATTGAATGTACTTTTGATTGACCTGCTAGGGCTTACAATAAGTGACAAGATACTCTTTGAAAGATGCATGGACAACACATACTGTAGTTTCATAAATGACATGATGAAAAGTGATGTCATTACAGTCATTGGAACCCCATTAGTCGCCTCCATTCTACAAATTCAGACCACAGTTGGCTGTTCATGACCTGACTAGACTGTGAAGATGTGGTCTGGTCAATGTCCAGTCGTATGTCAGGACTCAGAGTGAGATGCTTCGACTGACAGCGTCGGAACAACAAGAACGACCTCCCCGTTAAAGACGTCCACCCGTGCATGACGTGAAAAGCAGTCTTCCCGTCGACCAGGACACTGTCCGAATCAGAGTTACCGTCCTTGACATGCATGGACCGGAAGTTGGCAAACGGGTACCGTGTAGTGTCTTTCTTGAAAATGAGGCTGGACACCTTCAACGATGTTTCCGGGATAGTTGTTTTGAGATCTAGCCTTGCTGACCCCCCATCAGCATAATATAAGGTCATAGTCAGATTGACAGGGGCCAGGTCCATTCTGACAATAGGGGAGGAAGGTCTGAAGGCGTCCGCGTCAGACTGTCCCACAATGACAGAGGTACCAAATGGTATCCAGTCCAGCCCTGGTGGAGGAAGTTCTAAGAGTCGGATGTTTCCATCTTGATATAAAACAAATATCTGTGCAAAGCCTGTTGTCCACGGAACTGGACGTGAAATTCGGAAGTAGTCCACCTTGTTAAAAACCTTCCCATTGTCCAAGCGGTGGACTTTCATTGTCTCTGGTGCCCGCCACCAGAAGTCAACGTCTATACCCTCAATTATTAGATTATCTGACCTGAAAATTGAAAATGGCCGATCCGGCCTCATGTACCGTCGCTCAAGTTGCACGTAATCAATTGTCAGAGAGCTTATTTCAGATGTTACTATGGAAACAAGAAGAACATTGTCATCATATTCCGTCCACGAAAAATCAGGAATGTGCCACTCCTTAGTTGTCTCCCCTGGTTTGAATACCTCATCGACCAGTCCCAAGACCTTCTTAGCCCGTCCTTGGTACAACACTCTCATTGTCACTTTCGACTTGACAGGCTGGATCCTGATCGTTGCTTTAGACCCAATATCAGCATCTATGTAGCCTTTTGATCGGCCTTTAAGTCTGAACACTATCTGCAGTACCTGAGAGGTGAAGGGTTTGTTCCTACCAAATAAGAAGTCCATCCTAACTCCGGCGAACGTGGCCCGACTGAGGGGTTGTGGAATCACGAAATGGGAAATCTTCCAGTACACGGAAGGCAGAGATACACACCCCGTTGTGTTGGGATGACGATCGTTGATGAACGTCTTGTAATCTGGCAACGTTGCCGTCAATGTGTAAGATACGACGTTTTTCAGGAACACTGGTATCTTGACGTTATCTTCTTCTGCGCACTTCGTTGGATAGCTGGTCTGTAAGAGGGTAGCGTTCTCCAGCACATTCGGGTTTACTGGGGGAACGGGTGGTAGAACGTTCGAACACATAAGTGCGCAGGTCAATATATCATGGGTTATGGTCTGATCTGAAAGCTCCACCTCAACATAATCAATCTCAATCCCATTGGCGGCCTTTGCGAGAAGGGACAAGACATGCAAACCCTCCCTGAAAACCCACTGTCTCCCAACCGGCCCCGATATATGGAACACATTCCAGAGCTTCCCCCAATCGGATCTGTTCCCGGTTAAGAAGGATCCGGCGTCCACGTTGTCGATAGTTAAGGAAACAAGGTCAGGGCCGCCGTCGTTGGAATATCTGACGTTGCTGATGCGGAGGGACGTATCTTGTCTCAGACACAAGTAAAAGGATAAATATTCTCCGTTTCTTAGTAAAACTGTTTTTCCAGTAACGGCATTTGATCGATGATGGATGGCGTGATTGCCTCTGGCACCGGTGGCTCCAAGCGAGAGCTTCACTGCCAAGACCGAGATCATATGACAGGCAATAATACTGCCAAGCAAAACAGGTTTCATGTTGGTCGTTGGAACGAGACTGCTGACACTTCTTCAAAGTTTCTTTTTCAACTTTTGACCTTCACCTTCGTTTCCGGCCGCGTACGACTGGCGTTCTTGTTTTCCATGAGAAATGACTTTAATCCAAGTCTTCCGTATACCTGAAAAACAAATAATTTAATAAATTATGGACAATAGATCTCATGTGCCCCATTCTGTCCTAATGTCACCACCGGAGGCGAGTGGTATTAAACCCAACGATGGAGGCATAAAAACCCAATGTACCCCGAGTGATCCTGCTTCAACGAATTTATCTTACCGACATGTTTTAATGGGATATTGTAAAAGCAATAAAACAAATTCAAAATTGATAGAAAATAGCTGTTTAATTAAGCTGAGGTTAACTTGTTCTATGTCACTGACTCGGAAAATGCGTGCGGATCTTTGCTTCGAAGCTGTGTATAAGGGATTTATTCTCCCGCTGTGAAATCCACGCGCAGCCTGTTTTCTTCGAGGCGGGATTTAAGGGATTTATTCTCCCGCTGAGAAATTTATTTCCCTTCAAGGCAGGATACATCGTATTTTATCAAGATCGCGTGAATCAATAAAAACTTCTTCAGACCTGTATTATATAAATCTAGTTAAATTATGTTTTTCTCATTCAGATGACATATGGTCGACCGAATTTGACCCGTTAAACATCGGTTTCACGCTGCCCCTACCACTATCCTAAATGAAAAAACCCAACATATTTTAGAATGAATAATATTTCGACAGGAAGACATACAAGGCTCACTTAAAAAACATTAACAATGTAAACAAAGCACACCTCGTGTATTCACGAATACGCTGACATCATATACACACTTGCTTTATCACTTACTGCATTTCTGTTAAACACTTCTGATACTTAAACAAGGAAATGAACCTTGGTGGTATGATCGAGGCGCACCTTGTGACCGCTTCGTCACCGCGGGTATTAAGTACCCAAGCATACCTGGCGTTAAAACGTCTTAGAGATGAACTATTAACTAATAAACTTGTCATAGTAAGGAAACTATACAAATATACAGCGTCATATTAATGACGCGCGTTGCAGTATATATCAGTGTTAGAGATATAATTGGTATGTGTTCAGATAAACTGTTTTGTAGTAAAATATATTATAATATTAACTACGTTTGGGGAAAAGAACATATAAAGGTAACAATAATAATAAATTCCTTCAGTGGGACGAATTGCGAGGGGATTTGTGAGATATTATCCTTTCAACACAATACATTTCCCAGTCAGGGGAGGATTAATTGTCGGCATTCGTGACTCAAGCATTTCGTTTTAATCCCGCAATTTATGTTTTCGCCCCACAAAGGAGTTTTGTCACGGCCCATGTCATTGTTTATTTACTTTGTTAGAAATCCCAAAGCACGCGTTGCTAGATCTGTTCGTTGGCATAATTTGACATGTTTACCAAATTTAAAATTAGAGTTATTTTCTGTATGGTTGTGATATTGCAGTTTTTATCTTATTTTTAAAACCTGGACACATTTAAACGGAGATACAGTTACCGTTGGTACATAGGACGAGAATATAAGTCTGTATACTTATAAACAATCACTGAGCTAAGCATTGTTCAACAATACCACTTGTGTATACGCCCATCAGTGTAGTCTGGTACAGAACATTTGAAACATGTACTTGTGGTCTTGTTGCGAGGTGAATACGTCTGTGTCGAAAGTACAGTAATACACAATGGAACTGTTTCACGCGCTTTACTGTTGGACAAGGCCTCAATGTAAGTAACCGTGCGAAATTCTGCCCAATGGGATCTAAGGAAATAAACAATTATGTTCATGCAAGTTACACCTAATGACCCTTTTCCTGTTTTGATAGAGTGAGATAAGTCTCAGATTGCTGTGTCCAAAGCAAAACAACACAGAGAAGTAACGGTATATGGGTGAAGCGTTTACACATACAATCCTTTTCATGGTTTCCAATTATATTTTTAAAAATGTATTTACTGTGAAACAAAGAAATGATATTAATATTGTTCACTACTGAATTATTAATAATATTGAACGTAAAGTCAGATAGCATAAATCTATCTACATGGAAAGTATAAGGCTTATGTCCAGTAAAGATAGGTCTTCAGCAACCCATGCTTGTCGTAAGAGGCGACCAACGGGATCGGGTGGTCAGGCTCGCTGACATGGTTGATGCATGTCATCGTATCCTAATTGCGTGTACCGATGCTCATGATGTCAATCAATGGATTGTTTGACCCAGACTCAATTATTTACAGACCGCCGTCATATTGTTGGCATATTGCTGAGTGCGGCGTAAAACAACAAACAAACGAATACGGTTTACCATATATTTCTTTGTAAGTATAACATTATTCGGTCATTATATTTCCAAATGTGTGACAACGCTAGAATTGAGGTCGAATATTTAAACTATCCAGCTTTTTACATGATAAAGTAGTGTCGAATATACTTACAAACTACTGCATCAATCGTGTACATCCAAACGTTTATGGCCAAGTAATCGCTGCCTCTTACTAGGTACTAAAAGTGTTCAGTTAGAAAAGCTATTCATCAAGGGAAACAGGTAGTTAACCTGACGGAAGTTGTTTCATCGCCGCATTGATCTGAAACCGGTTTGAACTACAAGGATTTCATGCTAAAAACAAGTTCGTACTTCTGCCACCTACCTGCGAGAAAATGTCGTCTGCCTAGCGTCGTCACCGCGGGGCGCTGAAGCATATCAACATACTTTCAGCTGCACATGTGTTTGTACAGAGCTAAATCTATTTTTAGTCCTTGGTCCGTCAGAGAAGCCTACACAGGCCTTGTTACTGAGCAGACGACATTCTCATTGACTGTTATACAACAATGTAGATTTCCCGAGAGGGTTCAGTTCCACAACAACGGACCTTGATACTGAAACTGACACTTGTTGAGTTGTTGGCAAACTGACACCACTCGACGGATGGATATTTCCAGCTTTATTGAAGACTTCCGCTGCACTTCAACCATGTGACAATGTTGTCCAAGTCACGAGACGAAGACTCAAGTATATAGCGCGTGCGCATACGAGAACAATTTACGCATAGCTCCACACAGCAGCGAGCAATGGTCCGTTAGCTCCACAAGTCGGGGTCTTCAAGCATTGGGGCTGGAGTGATACATCATTTATATACCTCGCACTCCAGGAGCGCACCCTCAGGGAAGAACGACTCTGAAACAAACACGCACCTGGTGACTGTGTCAAGATATGACATCATAAATATTGATCACAGACAGGATATGTACCTACGCAAACCTTACATGATGTGGTTTTTAACGCTCGTGTGTTTCACGAGTTGTTAAAAAATAATTAAAACTTGTTAAACGTAATGATATGAGTAAGATGAAATGGGGTGTAACGTCGCGTTTTAGATGATTGCTTAAATATTGCGACGTGCATGCATACATGTGTATGTGTGTGTGTGTGCGTGCCTGCGCGTGCGTGCTCGTACTGTCGACGTGTCAGTTGTATGGCCATAGCCAACTAAAATAACATGCTGGTATGCCATGGATACCCACTCAGACACAGTTTTCTGACTCCGAGCCGACCAGTCCTTGTTTAGCCCCTGAATGCCGAGTCAGGCAAGGTAACAATAAGTACCATTTTTAAACCTATAACGCTGCCGGGAATCGAATCACCAACCTTCCACTCTCCGGGCATACGCTCTATCCACTCGACCACGAAGGCGGTGAAATGTAATAATGATGATGATGATGATGATGATGATGATGATGGGATAATGAAGCTGCTTGTCATCACTTCAGTTGCGATAGAGTGAGTGAGTGGGTGAGTTAGTTGTGTTTAGTTGGGTTTAACGGCACTTTGAACAATATTCCAGTTATATCACGGCGCGTAAGGTTAATGCGGAGGAAAGCCCGAAGTGATGCAGATCTTAGCCGTTTACCACTTCGGTGAAACCCACGAGCACAGATATGGTGCTGACAAACCTAGAAACATAATTGGGGCGAACCGGGATTCGAACCCACAGTCATAGGTTTCTGGCGTGCCCAAGGGCAAGTTGCGATAGCATCACGACCTTATTTTCATCATGATCGTCACGTGCCTGCATTATAGAACAGATCTTATTTGTGTTAAGTAAAATAGTAAGACATAAATTCTTATTAAAAAAATACACCGTATGGTGGGGCTGTAAAAGCGACACAAGTTTAAGATTCTTCAGTTTGGTGAATTGTGAGATGATGTCGGAATTACTTGTTCAAGAGCTCTCCTCACAACACTATATTTCCCTGACAAGAGGGAATTTACTCTCCGCATTCCTGATACAAGGATGTCTTTTTCATCTGAAATGGCAGCCTTGCTGAAACTGCAAGTTTGCCCTGCTAATCGGCCAGTTTCGATGTACCGTATATCAACAAACGTAAAAAGCTAGGCATTTGGGTTTAATATTTAATTATGATCTAAATTTCAAATTAGTTACATATTTTGGTGACCGTCAGAACCTCGTAGGTCTAGATTATGTGTATTATACTAAACGGAGTGTGTAATTTCTCATTACTCTACCCCAAGGAGGATCTTAAATGCACTGCTATTTGGGTTACGAGCTTCTCTTAGTATTTCCGTGAAGGTTAAGATATGGACCCCAGTACAGCATACATGTCGTAAAGTTCGTACAATGGGGATCGGGAGGCCACTATGGCTGCTGAGTATGGGTAGTATGTGGCGGGTGACCATCGCATTAACATAGACCGACGACAGTCGTAAAGCTGAATCCTGTAGAACCAGACTCGACTCTCAACAGCAACCCAGTTCCAGTCAGTCACATGTTTGTTTTCAAGAGATACTATAAAGACAAGGCTCGTCGTGATAAGGAATATCTTCGTTTAGGCTTGGCTTAGGATGTCTAGTAATAACTCATCGAGGAACACTTTAGGATTAGTAAGCTATGTGATAAATGGCCATTAATCTCCTTCAATGTGTGATAAAACTGCAACAACGTTAGTCGGTAAAGGCGCCACGTCATGAGCAAGTCATGATGCCATCTACTTCCACAGTAGGGCTTGGTAAGGCCTGGGGTTATCGCCATGTTATTCGCCAGGTGGGCAGTATTCACCTGAACGTGTTTCCTTTAGCCATAACAATAGTTGGGTAAAAAACATGTAAGTGTTCCATGGATGCAGTTGTATACCTAATCAGCGAGCAATTGTTTGCGGTTTTGTTCAACACTCCAAAACATTGTTTCCTTAAAGGTGCGTTGCACTGAAACAGTTTTTCGGGAATGACTTTGCATATAATCATCCCAAATCATCATCATCATCATCATCATCATCATCATCATCATCACAATATTTATGTTAAACTGCGGACTGGAAGCATGGGGTAGCACTATACAAGGAGTACAGGTACAAGCAGCCATATACACACACACACAAGCGCACACACACACGCCCACACACACAAGCGCACACACGCATACATATACGCACGCACACACACAGGCACACACGCACGCACGCACGCACACACACAGGCACGCACGCACACACACAAGCACTCTCACGCACGCACACACAAGCATACACACACGCACGCACTCACGAACGCATGCACGTCGCTGTATAAGTGCAATAATGTTGGACGCGACGTTAAACCCAATTTCACGTCACCTCACCCCATCATCTCCCGCACCAGCAACAACATTTTACTGCCATGACAGAAGTCAGCCACAAGGCGCAATATGATTTAAGGTGGGTGTTTGCGGGGTGGGTCGGATTTATTATCCATGAGTATACAAGACAATAACCCCATTCTGTTTTATGTCATTTTTTCATGTCCCTCCTGCAATCCCCAGCATCGTTCATCACAATGAAAAACACATGAATATTTAAAACAGTGTATGAGCTAGGAAGGTGTAAGGGTCCACAATACAGGATATAGCTTTACATTCAGAACTTCTTGCTCGGCAACGCCAGTGGTATGTATGAAAGGTCGGATGGTCTAACCAATACCAATACCTTATGTCACTAAACCACAACCAAAACGTACTAAAGATGTAACAGCCTTGTAAAGTAGTCAAACAGACACATATGTTTTACTGTCTTCTTTCACAGAAGCCTTAACTACGAACTCCAGGACAATGAACTCCCACCGACAGACCACGTGTCTTGAGTTCTCGGGTAAACAATCTTACTTTTATGAGCTTAAAATGTTGGCTTTTTATTCAAAATTTTAAACCAAATGAGTAAATGACTGGCATGATTGAGAAAATTCGAAAATTTTGTTTTCACAATCCATCATCTATCAAATTATTCTTTCAGTAATGTTTAAATCGATTTCAAACGAAAGTTTTTTATTGAAATTTATTTGTAGCGACGTGCATATGTGCATTGCTGCTTGTACCGGTGTGTTTAGCTCTACCATGCCGCAGGTTAACCTGCACGCCTAACTCAGACTCATTACCATGACTCAAGCCTATGCCTTAAGGCAGAGCGCGAGGCAGGGTAACAACAAGTACCATCTTTTCAAGTCTTTAGGATGACGCGGCCAGGGGATCGAACCACCGACCTTACACCTTACACCTTACACCACCAAATATATAAAGCATGAATGTTTCCAACTAACAACACAATAAAATACACTCTGACCAAACATGTAAAACTTCACCTATAGTTGACTGAGTAAGGAAATGGCGTTTTCACATAGTAGTCAGCAAAAACAGTGACAAATACAGTATTGCAATTATATGTTGGTTTGTTTGTTGTTCAACGCCGCACTTAGCAATAGTCCAGCTGTATGACCGCGGTCTGTAAACAATCGAGTCTGGGCCAGACAGTCAAGTGATTGGCATCATGAGCATCGATCCACACAAATGGAATACGATGACAGCATCAACCTAGTCAGCGATCCTGACCATTCGATCCCGTTAGTCGCCACTTACGACAAGCATAGTCGCCTTTTAGGGCAAGAATATGTTGCTGATGAACTATTCTACCCCGGATCTTCACGGGTATATCATTATATGATGGCGTCAGCTTGGGTAGTGGTGAAGTCCACGGGCACGGGTGTGATGCTGACAGACGGAAGATCGAAATTTGGACAAATCTGGGATTCGAAACCATGACCAACGTATCCGGACACGGCTAAGGGAAGCAACTCTACATATGGCGACTAACACATTCCTACAATTAATCTACCCTCAGTCTGTCATGCTAAAATATCTACGCATCTAGTTTCGAAAGGGAAGTCACTGAGTAATGGATGGGAATGATGTGTTTGAAAGGGTGAAACTAAACTGGGCGGCAAAAGAAAGTATAGGTCGAGTTCCATGATCGATAAAAAAATAACAAGAAGAGGTTTTGTTGTGAATTATAATATAATCTAGGGAGGGGTAACAAATGATTGATCAACCACAGTTTGAATGAAATTGTGCAATCACAGGTAATGTAAGCTCAAGGTAAACAATGATGGGGTAAGAAATTTCATTTTCAAAAGTTGTCTGAAATGTCACCAAAAAATTGTCAGACACACTACAAGTTCATTGTCGACACAGTTGCCTTCAATAGCGTGCATGACCTCAAGCTGATTCAATGCATGCTGTGATACGCCGCCTCATCGATGACGTCAGTCTTCTGATGACGTGGACTGGAATTATTTGCCACTCTCAGGGCCTGTTGCAATTCTTGTCTGTTGGCGGGAGGCTGATGGCGTGCTCTAATATGTCTGTCAAGAAGGTCCCACAGATGTTCAATGGGATTCATATCGGGTGAGTGGGCAGGCCAGGGCAAAACGTCAACGTTCTGCTGGTTTAGAAAGGGGTGGGTGGGGGTGGCTGGAGGGTAATGCTCCACAGAACTGTACCTAATTCCCAGCCTTGGTCTGACGTTATCTGACGTTGTCGTTAACGTTAAATAAGCAAACAGAGAATATACCATTTTTCAGTGACTCAAATTAAAATGCTGGGACAGCACATTAACTGCAGCCAAGGCCCCTTTAAATTGATACAACTGTAAGAGAGTTGGATGTTTGCCATATATCTATAGAACCACCTGAGTTGTACGGGTCAGACTATCGGGACAGCTGATGGTGGTCTTAGGAGGACATG